TCTCCTATGGATCATGCTATTTGAACTGAGTTTTGAAGGAAACAATGGAATCTAAAAGATGAAGGGGGGGCATCGTGAGAATGTGGGACAACTAGTGCAAAGGCAGGGAGATAAGAGATGTAGTGCTATGTGTTGGGAATAACAAGAAGTTTGGTCTGGCTGAACTACAGAGTAAAGGAGAGTGAAAATACATAACAAGGCTGAAAAGGCAGGTTGGGACCAGATTACAAGGGGCTTTAAATGTTAAGCAGAGGAGTTTATTATATATAATGCACCCCCCTCATTTTACATATGAAGAAACCAAAGACTATAGAGGTTAAGTGACTTGCCCAAGGTTACTCAGATGAATGCAGGTGGTAAATGGCAGATCTATGGTTTGGACCCCTGTCCTCTAACCGTAAATCAAACATTTAAATCATAAGCTCAGAGACTGAGAGCTGGATAAAACTTTACAGGGCATTTAGTTCAACCCTCCTCATTTTACAGATGAAGGGAAAATCAAAGGTGGTACAGTGGATAAAATGCTGGACTTGGAGGCAGCAAAACCTAAGTTATCAGATAGTTACCAGCTCTGTGACCTTGGACAACTCAATCTCTGGGCCTCAGTTTCCTCATTTGTAAATGTGCTTAGTAAAAGTACCTCCCTTCCAGGATTGTTTTGAGGATCAAAGAGATAACATATGTAAAGTGCTTTACAAACTTTTAATGTACTTTTGAAATGTTCGTTATTGCCTAGATTTGACCAGGTAGTAAGTGGAAGAAATGAGATTTGAACCCACATTCTCTGACTGTACACTCAGATCTTGTTGTTGGCGCTCGGTTGTTTCAGTCATATCCAAGTCTTCATGACCTCATATTGGGGTTTTCTTAGCAAAGATACTCGAGTGGTTTGCCATTTCTTTCTCCAGCTCATTTGACAGATGAGGAAACTGAGGCAAAGAAGATTAAGTGACTTGTCCAGGGACACACAGCTAGTAAGTATCTGAAGCTATATTTGAACTCAGGAAGATAAGTCTTCCCAGCTCCAGGCCCAGAGCTCTATCTACCACATCACCTACCTGCCCAAATCTTAAATCAAGTCAATTCAATTCAACCAATATTTATTAAACACCTACTATGTGCAGAGCCCTATATTAATTAGATGCTGAGAATTCAAAGACAAAAAATCAACCTAGAACATTTTTCCTTTCTTTCCTGGAAACCCATCAGCAAAGGAGGATCCTGGCTATACCTACCCATGGCTGCAGGAGCATTTAAGTAGCATTTTAATTAAGAAAGGCTAAATCAAGTGTTTAAACATCTTCTGCTCTGCTTTAATTTCTAATTAAACTGCATAGGTCTGTTCCATAGTCAGTGGCACCCAGCTCTGAACAAAAGGCAGATTTGCTTCCAAATTAACATTTGGGGAGCAAATTTAGGGTAGGTGTAGAGGGAGGAGCGCATACTTTAGAGATGCAGGTTTTTATCTTATTCCTTGATTTTCTAAAATATATCTGGCTCCAAGCTGCCATTATATGTTTTAATGTGCTTGACTTTGCTTTGATTTAGTGAAATGCAAAAGTTTGATTTAGTATCAGTACTGTAAAAATCATTTATAGTCATGATCATAGACAGTTGGTAATGCGCAGCTTAAATGGGGGATTCTTTTCTGGAGGAGGCATCAGAATTTGAAAAATTGAAGATAAATGCATCTTTGGTGGGTGTCTCCTTAATCATTGGCAGAATAGGAGTCCTGGCCAGTTAGTGTCCTAATCCAGTTGGAAGGCTGTTTGTCAAAGGGCATAACCACTGGCAGCCCAATTAGGCCCTGGTCTGGGCTATAAAGATCCTTCTAGGGTATTGACCCACCCATGGTATATCAAAGAGCTGGTTTTAATGCATCTGCTGAGCAAGCAGCATGTGATATGTCAGGGAAGTCTTTTCATGTTCTCTAATCCTAGCTTCTGAATGTCAGTGCTGGCTTGGACAGTGGCTTCTGGTCACAGGAGGTCTGGAAGGAAGCACTTGATACTTGGCTTTGGAGGCTTGAGGTCTTAAAAAGAAGAAAGTGCTTGGAAGCTCTCCAGGTTCATGCAACAGCTACATCAGAGGCAGATGAAAAGTTATGGCCAATACCTAGATAGGGCCCCACTGCCTAGGCTCAATTCATAGATCAGCAGCTCTGGGAAAAGGGAATAAAAATAAAGTAGGGCAGAGAGACTGCATTAAGAAAAGGAGGGGCAGAGACAGAAATAGAGAAAGAGACAGAGACAGAAACAGACAGAGGGAGGTATGGAGAGAGAAAGAGCAAGACACGAAGAGAGGCAAAGGCAGAAAAGGAAGGAAGGAAGGAGAGAAAAAGAGACAGACAGACAGCAAGAGGGAGGGAGGGATAAAGTGAGACACACAGAGTGATGGAGAGAAAGAGACAGAGAAAAAGACAGAGAGAGACAGAGAGAAGGAAGGAAGCAGGAAGAAAGAGACAGGAACAGAGAGACAGAGAGAAAGATACAGAGGGAGAGAAAAAAGAGAGGGAGGGAAGGAGAAAGAGTGAGGGAAAGGGACAGAAAGAGAAAAGGAGGAAGAGAGAGAGAGAGATTGATTCTTAGAATCAGCCCAGATATATTCCTTAGTCTATACTGTTCCAGTTTAATTTAATTTAATGAATATTTATTTTTCAGTTTCTCTTGCGGATCCTAACAATGCATTCTATACCCAAGCCAAACTGGACATTCTTCTGGCAACTCCATCCCCCTTGCTTTTGCTCAGGCTGGTCCTCTACCATAAAAACAGAGAGGAAGGCTCTTCTTTGTTCGTTGAATTTCTACCCGGCCTTTGAAGCCCAGCTGTATGTCTCTTCTAGAGGCTTCCTTGAATCCAGCCAATCCCAACATGATTACCTACATCCTCACATTGTCCTATGCTTTGCTCTTCTCAATGTACTTACCATGGAATATTGTATTATAATGAACTGTGTTACTTCCTTACTTCCCTTCCAGACTGTAAGCACCTTAAGGACAAGTACTGGGTCTCATCTAAGCCTTGCATTTGCCCAGTGCCAAGTAGAGTACTCTGGACATTTCGACTCTCAGAATCTGTGACTTCCTTCAAGCCTTAGCTCAGCTCAGCTTCTTCCACAGGTCTTTTCCTGGTTTGTACCTGCTCTCCCTTCCCCTACTCCTCCTCCCCTGCTTGTGTCTTCTCTGAGGTTACATTCTATCTTCTATCTACTTCTGAATGCATCTTGCACATACCTATGTACATGTTTACCACCCCCCAACAAAGTTACAAGTTCTTTGAAGACAGGGATTGATTCCTTTTTTGTTCCTTCATAGCACTTTTTTCCTTTCAAGCACTTAACACATAGTAGATGTTTCGTAAATGTTTGTTGATTGATTGATTGATTGGTCACCTAGTGTGTTCTAGTCTCTCAAAGGATCTCTCCAAGGTACTTATTATGGTGAGCATACCAATTAGACCACTTCGAATGCTGGGGTTCTTAATGATAACAAGTGGCATTTCTATAATGCTTTAAAGTCTATAAACCACTTCATAAACATTATCTCTCTTGATCTTCATGAGAAAGGCAGGTGCTTCAGGCAGTATTGTCCCCATTTCTACAGAAAAGAAAACCAAGGCTCCAAAAACTTGACTTGCCAAGTTTTTGCAAGTGACATGCAGAATTTGAACCACAGTCTTCCTGAATGCGAACTCTGCCTAGAATCTAATTATTCTACTTTACCTCTATCATTACCAACAGGTTTATTAGGAGGTGCAATCAAACTTGCTCCCTGCAAACCTGGACTCATTGGGTAAGTCTCTCTCTGACTAAAGTTGGGCTGCTTCAAGGATTGCCAACTGTCTTTTTGTCAGAGGGCTCGCTCTGGCTCAGCCCTCATTGTGTGACCAGGTAAGCCACTGAATCATCCTGAAACTCAGTTTTCTCATCTTTAAAATGTATTCACTCTGTGCCTATTGATCAAAGAGCAGCTAAATATTATAACATATCAATGTAGTGAGTTACAATGATATCAAAGCAATGAGAAGTATGAGGAATTCAGAGAAACATGAGATAATTTGTATGAATAAGTACTGGTGTATATAGTAAAGTAGGCAGTGAAAAAAATGCATGCTATACGATATTTTTTCAAGGTTGGGGGGAAGAGTCCAGATGTGTAATGTCAATAGTAAGGGGGGGGGGTAGAATAAACATTTATATAGCACCTAGTATGTGCCAGGGATTGTGCTAAATGCTTTTTACAAAAATGATCTCATTTGACATTTACAATAACCCTGTAATGTAGGTGATGATATTATCCCCTTTTTACAGTTGAGGAAACTGAAGCAAACTGAGATTAAATGACTTGACCAGGGTCGTAGAGCTAATAAGTGTCAGAGGCCAGATCTGAACTCAGATCTTCCTGATTCCAGACCTAGCCTTTTCTCCACTGCAACACCTCACTGCCTCACAAAAAATTCCCACTATGGAAACTTTTTTATCAGTGCAAATCAGCAACTTATAGATAACTCATAGAGTTAGAGAGCCGATCAGGGAACTGCGAAGTGAAGTCACTTGCTCAGGGTCACACAGCTGATGTGTCAGAGGCAGGAATTACATACCCAGTGCTTCTTAACTTTGAGGCTGGCTGGCTTTGTGCCATGCTCTCCCAAAATGACCATAATACTGTAGATGAAAACAACACCAAAAAGCACATAGACTGTGCTTAAATGTCATGACCATTTTCTGACTTGGAGAAGAAATGATGAAACACATTTCCTTTCCCCTGATACAGAGCAGGGAGACCACAGGTGCTAGACTTGGTTTATACTTATTAGTCCTATCCCTGCATCAGCTGTTTTTGTTTAACTATTTTCCTCTGTTATGAAAGAGGGTGAAAGGGGTTGAGGGGATGATTTAAATCTGGAAATGACTATGGTGCAAAACGAAGAGGTAGCAGAAAAGCTTAATCTTAAAAAAAAATACTGTTGCTCTCATGTAGCCCCAGCTGGAAATCACGTACCATGATGACAAACAGGGCTGGGGCCACAAAGGCCCAGATGGCTCCATTCCCCAAGGACAACCAGCAACTGCAAGAAGAGAATAGAAGAGTTACTCTCTAGCTCTGGGCTGCAAATTGGAGAACAAGGTCATTCAATTAGTGGTGCAGTTAATTAGAAAGCAGAAGTTCCCTTGCAAGGATGTTCAATTTTGCAGCCAGAGACATTGCAGAATTGATAGCACCCTTGCCTTCCTTTCTGGAGACCATCAAAGTCTAGAGAATGATTGAGAGGGAGGCTCCCAATTGTACAACCTGCTCAAGGTGGACATGGGGGTGTGGGTGGGGGGTGAGGAGAGAGAAGTGAGAAGAGGGAACTGAGCCAGAGCCTTTCGTTAGTAAAAGCCACAAGCAGGCACAAATGAGAATGACCAAATCTATACCCAGCTATGCATTTACAGAATATTTTCAAAAATATTATTCATTAATGTGTTTTGCATGACTACATATGTATTACCTAAGTAAAATTTCTTGCCTTCTCAATGGGAAGGAAGGGAGAAAGGGAGAGAATTTGGAACTCAAAATTTGAAAAAAAAAGTTAACATTATTTTACATGTAATTGGGAAAAAATAAAATATTAAGCTTTTAAAAAGAAAAGTAACAAAAATATTGTTCATTTATTCATTCAACAAAAATGCTAAACAACCCTTACCAATGAGTGTCTATGCTGAACATTTCTGTCCGTCCTACACACACACACACACACACACACACACACGCACATGCACACACGGAGTTCCCTGCATCAACAACATCACAAATCTAGACCAAAAACCAAGAACAAAAAAGTCTTGAACTACCTACCTCAACAGTTCTATTTAACCTTTTCATAACCTGGACCCTTCCTACCTTTCCATGTTTGGACACTTGATTCTCCACCATGCGCTCTATGATCCAGATACAATAGCCTGCTTGCGGTTCCTTGAAAATAACAATATTCCATCTCAAGTCTTTGCACTGGATACCCTCCATGCTAAGAATGTTCTGTGCCCTCAACTCTCCTTTTAGTTCTCCTGGATCACTTGGAGAATCAGCTCAAATTCCATCTTCAGCAAGAGGTATTTCTAGGTACCACTCCCCCCCCACCCCCTTCTCCTCTGAGAGTGTTGTTTTTCAGAACTGTCCTACTCTTTATGACCCCTTTTGGGTTTTTCTTGGCAAAGATACTGGAGTGGTTTGCCATTTCCTTCTCCAGCTCATTTTACAGATGAGAAATCTGAGACAAGTAGGGCTAAGTGATTTGCCCAGGATCACACAGCTAGTAAGTTCTAAGGCTGGATTTGAACTCAGGAAAACTCATCTTCCTGACTCCAGGCCTAGTGCTCTATCCTCTATGGTACCACCCAGCTGCCCTTTGAAATTACCTTCCATTTAATCTCTCTCAGCACCATTTCTCTCTCTCTCTCTCTCTCTCTCTCTCTCTCTCTCTCTCTCTCTCGCTCGCTCGCTCGCTCTCGCTCTCTCTCTTGCTCTCCCTCTTGCTCTCGCTCTGGTCTAACAAGGGCAGTTATAAGGGAAGTTCACTCAGAAACTCAGCATTTATGCGAGCAAATTCCCATACCCAAACCACAGCCCCTAGATTACCACTGCACGTGTTCTTGTTCACTAGGGCAGCAAACAATGAGCATTATTCCCCAACACATTCACATCTACCTCATTTTTCAACGGGAAAGAGAAAGGAGAACAGGATAGAAAGGCATGATGGGTAGGGATTACATTGTATTTTCACCCAAAGCCATCCATCTTCTGAATTTCCCTAATTCTATCCACTGTAACACAATTCTTCTAGCCTCCCAGGTTCTTAACTTCCTCCCTTATTCTGGACTTCTTATTCAACTGCAGTTGCTCTCTTCAATATCACCAAATTGCCAAATCTGATGGTCTTTTCTCAGTCCTCATCCTTGGCCTCTGTACTAAACTTGACATTGCTGACCACCTTTTCATATGGATCCTTATTGTCTCCTCTGAATTTCCACGACACTACGCTTTCCTGGTTCTCTTCTTCCCCATCGGCTTACTCCTCTGTTTCTTCTGCTGGCTCATTAACCCACCTCACACCCCTGACTGCAGGCATTCCCCCAAGGCTCCATCTTAAGCCATCTTTTCTTCTCCCTTTACATTACCTCACTTGGTGATTTCATCAGCTCCCAAGCTTTCATTATCATTTCTATGTAAATGACTCCTAAAGTTTGCATTTAGCCCTCATGTCCTACATAACAAACCTACTCATTAGACATTTTAAACTGTATGTCTCACAAGTATCTCAGACTCTAATGTTTAAAGCAGAACTCAGTCAAAAATTCATCAACAAGTAGTTAATCACTTACTACTGGCCAGGCATTGTGCTAAGCAAAGAGGATACAAAGAAAGGCAGAAAATACCCAGTATTTTTCCTCCAAACCAACCCTTTTTCAGATCTTCTTTCTTTTTTCTATGTATACCATCCTTCTAGTCTCCCAGGTATTCAGCTTTCACTTCTTATTCTTCCTCAGCTAACATAGCCGATCAGCTGCTAAATCTTGCCATTTCTATCTCAATGACATCTCTCACATCTGTCTCCTCTATACTCACACAGTTACCCTCAAGCTCAGGTCCAGGGCATCACCTCTCCCAGACTAGTGCAGTAGCCTCTTAATTACTCTTCGCACCTTAAGTATCTCCCTTTCTAATCCATCCCCCACAAAGCTGCCAACCGTCTCTGTCTGCCTATGTCTCTATCTACCTTTGTCTCCACCTCCTTCCCTCCCCATACCCCTCTTCTCTCTCTGGATGTGTCGCTGTCTGTCTCTGTCTTGTCTCTGTCTCTCTCTTGTCCCCCTGCCTCTGTCTCTATATCTCTGTCTCTCTGACTCTCTATGTCTGTCTGCCTCTCTGTCTCCCTCCTCTCTGTCTCTATCTCTTTGACTGTCTCTCTGTCTCTCTCTCCTCTGTCTCTCTGTGGCTCTCTCCTCTGTGTGTGTCTCTGCTTTTCTGCCTCTCTTTGTCTCTCTGCCTGTCTTTGTCTCTCTGTTTCTGTCTGTGTCTGTCTGTCTCTCCATCTGTGTGTTTGTGTGTCTGTCTGTCTGTCTCCCCTATCTATCTACCTCTCTGTCTATTTGAATGGCTATCACACTACAGTATGGATAAAGGCACAGACTTATTTTGCTTTTCCCAGAGGGTGACGAGCAAAAGTTATAGGAAAAAAACCCAGATTTTTATTCTTGGTGAAGAAAAACTTTCTAACTATTAGAGTTGTCTAAAAGTGAAACAGCAGGTAGTGATATGACCTTCCCTGGAGGCTCAGATTGTCCTATGTGGGAGTAGGCTGCAGATAGAATTTTTGTTCCAGTATAAGGCAGGGGAGGGTTCATTCAAGGTCCCCACTTGGATTTTTTGTTGGTCCAGCCTTCCTTCAAGGCCCCCATGCTTCATGAAATCCTGAGGACTCATCTTTCTCTTTAAAGAATCAGCTCGTGTACCATTCCTATATCAACAAGGCTGCTCTTTCCTGAAAACTCTGATTTAAAAACATGGAGATTAAATTTTAAGGACTAATTATAATGAAATGGGGTCAGAGCAAATGTATTCCAAACTTCATCTCCCAGGCTAACCTCCAGGGCACTACCTCTTTCCTAATGAGTCACTGCAGGGCAAGGATAGAATAATATGCCTATTCCTAATGTATATGGTTGTCTCATGTTTACACTGATCCCATGTCTCTCATTCCTAGAAATTATTTAAACTGCTTGGAGACATCTCACTGAGGTGAGAGCTTTCAGAATGCTCCTTAATTGGTGAGGGGAATTGATATCACTGAAAACCACAAGCCAGAATTTAAAAAAACAAACCAATAACAAAAACAATTTGTTGATTTCGTTATTTAATAGTCTGTATTAAAATTCCTCCTCTGAAGGCTCATCATGATATAGAAGTGATCCTAGGTTCTCCAAGGCAAAATCAATGATGAATAGTAGATCCTATCAAATTAGAAATCCAGTTCAGTTCAATTCAATATACATTTATTAGAAGCAGCTTTGGAATCACGGATAGAGAACCTTGGACTTAGGAAGACCTGAGCTCAAATCCTTCCATGGAAACATAATAGCTATGTGACCCTGAGAAAGTCACAGCTCTTCAGTGATTCCCAGGAAATCTTCCAAGGCAGCAAGAGTTATTAAGATTGTGTCCGGGAGCCAAGATATAGATAGATAGATATAAATAAATATAAATAAATATATATATATATATATATATATATATATATATATATATATATATATATATATATATATGTGTGTGTGTGTGTGTGTGTTTATATACATGAACACATGCATATGTGCATGTATATACATACATGTATGTATATATACATGTGTGTTGTGTGTATATACATACATGTTATATATATATATTGATAACTATATAATCCTATATATTTTATTTCATACATTTAAAAACAGACATTAAAAAAAATTTAAATTATTCCAAAAAGGGTCCATAGGCTTCACCAGAATCGCTGTGGAAAGAGTCCAGGACAACAAAAATGGTTAAGAATCCCTGAGGACATGACTATCAATCAACCAGATCTTATGAAGTGCCTACTATGCACCAGTCACTATGCTAGGCACTGGAGATAAGAATGCAAAGGATGAAGCAAGCCCTACTTTCAAGAGGTTCTATTCAAACAAAAGAGACAAATATATAACTACTATATAAAGAGACCAAGTTTAAATAAATACAAAATAATATAATACAATCTAGCTTGGGAAGGAGAGTATTAACACTTGGAAGGAATGTTTCATGTGCCATTTTAAGCCTGATCTTGAAGGAAAAAAGGGATTCTTTGAGGACAGAATCCAAGAACATTCCAGGCTTTGGGGATGGCCATGTACCTGGCCCAGAGACCAGGGATGGAGTGCCAATGATAAAGAATAAAAAGAAGGCTAGTTTTCTTGAATGACAGAGCATAAGGGTCAGGGAAATATCCAATGAGATCAGAAAGATAGGGTGGGACCAGTTAGGTGAAGGACTTTATAAAGGTTCAATAGAAGT